GGTCCCCAGCAAGCAAACAACACTTCTTCCAGGCTGCGAAACCCACCAGCTCTTGATTCCTGGTTTGCTGCAGGGCTGTATTTGGTAGCAAGTTACAAACCAAGCCTGTGCTTCTGCAGCCATAAGCAACCGTCTCCTTCTCACTGAATAGGCATTCCAAGAACGGTTCGATTATTTTTCTCACATCCTTCTTTCTGTATTCTCCAATTCTCTTTCTTGCCAACTTCATCTTCTGATCTGGAGCACCAAAACCGGTCAGCTCATCACGGCTGCCTCCTGCCTTCTTCCAGCCCTTGTGTTGAGCTTAGCCATGGAGATGTTCCTCTGAGCCTGAACCTAGAGCCTTCTGCCCAGGGTCTCTGTCATTTCTTGTGGAGCACTCACGTTTGTGGATCCGCCTCTCAACAACACTGACAAACTCAAACCCTGTGGTTAGGAAGAGCTGCAGCACGTCAGACAGGGACAGCTGCCCCAGGCACACCTCCAAGGGCGGTGGCAAGTGGGGGCCAAGAGGACCAGCCTCCGTGGGCTCCCGCTGCCATGGCGGGAGCCTGGCTGTTTGCGGGGAGGGAGGAGGAGATGGCCGCAGGCGTGCCAGCTGTCAAGATGTCATGCTATGCCTCTGGTGAGCGGCTTGACTTCGAACACGAGTTAATTTCTTCCTTTTACAAAAATACCTGCATATCTGCATTTGTTCTTGCTCACAAGGATTTTAAGGAGAATGGGCTACATTTTTGCTTTCAGCGTAATCGTTTAGCAATTTTTCCCCCAAGCTAATTATTATACTTAAACAAAACAAAACACCCAAACAACAAAACCATAAAAAACCCCAACACATCCACATGTGCCTCTTTATACTAGACTGGATATTGATTTCCTCACAGATTACACTAAATAGTAAACAGAAGCATCTTTTATAACCTTTCTGTAATACAACAGTTTTTAGCTTGCTATGCTATTCCTCTTTCATGCCTCTTCTCTAAAATGCACATTATTACCTTTGATCACTTTTAAGAGAAATTTCTATTTTTGTCACCCTCTTCAGTCTCTTTTGGCTTTCAGCAGGCCTTAAACTTACCACTGATTCCTGTTACCGAATATTTCTGTTCCACTTCTAAGGATTGCAGATTTGGACACAGCTTTTAAAGTATGTTTTGTCCTACTACCAGTATTCTTTCTCCTTATTTACATGGCTCCTACTGTCACACTGTCCAAATGCTAACAACATTCTTCTTTGAGAGAAGACAGTGAGGAAGGAAAGCATTCTTAGCCCCTTTGCAGAAGAACAGGTGCTGAGAAATTTAGGTCCCGGTCCAAAACAGTATGTAGGCTCCAATTCCTGC